TAACAGCGGTCGTCCCTCGGCAGGCAATGGCAAACCTCCGAGTGTATTTCTGCCATGAAAAACAGCTTCTCATAAAAATACAATCGCCGTTCGGAGTCGGCGTAAAACTGTAGGTCCCTCCGCTTTGTGTGACAACATCAAGGCGCACGCCACAAATCGAAGGAGAAGCTCGGCCAAACACTATTACTATTATTATTATTATTATTATTATTATTATTATTATTATTATTATTATTATTATATAAAAAATATAAATAGAGGCGGTAACCTTCGTTCGTTACTTTTATTTCCGTCCTCATACATTTCATGCCAAATTTATTTAATTTGGATGAGCGATTTTACTTTTTTTTATCAGGAAATGACTTTTTAATTTTTTTAACAAAACATTAACTTGGGATAGGCACATAAATGTAGTCGTAGGTAAACTTTACAGAATGCTTCGCGCTCTCTGGTCCACGCACTATTTCATCCCTCAACGAATTCGCATTTTAATCCCTAAACCCAGGGACCGTAACGGTTACTTTTATTATAAAAATCACTTTTTAAACGTTATTAACTGAGTTTTATTTTTTGCTCAGAAAATAATCGTTATGTTTTGAGTTTTATTTTTTGCTTGGAAAATAATCGTTATTTCTTGAGTTTTATTTCTTGCTCAGAAAATAAAACTTAGTCTTTGCGTATGCGTATGCGCATGCGTGAATAGACAGGGGGCGGTTGCATTGAACTTTTAATGCTACTGTGGAGTGGGTAATGAAAATACAGAGAGCAAGATACGAGGGCAGAAACAAAGGCAAGGGCAACGACAAAACCACATACACTCACAACCTATGTTGAAGGATCAAGCCATTGATAAAGATGAAGAACAGGACAAAGTTAAAGACAAATAAAAAGACAAGGATAAAGATAATGATGAATGCGCATACGCATACGCACCTCTTTTTAAAAAGTTAGTAAAAACGAGTGAAAGAACAAAAATATATTTTTTTTATGTATGTTGTCTCGAATTCGATTTTATATGGAAGGATAAGCTTTGTTCTTCCCCTCCTCCTGACGGCTTTCAAATATTTCGATACAGAACAATCCTAGGGGGTGAGAGCATTACAATTCCGACTTTACTGTTTTTGGACCACCCTAATGCACATACATCTATTAATTTTATATAAAAAGAATAAATTGTATTCAGTGCATTTCACGGTATTATTTATAGATTATGAAAACAAAAACGCCTGGACTTCGTCTTTGGAAACCCTTTGGTTGCCATTATTTGAGCGAATTTTTCGTATTGCCCGTATTGCGCTCGCGAAAACACAGAAATCGAGAAAATTCATTTATGATGACTTGTAAAATATATTTAATATTCATGCGTTATATGGAATAAAATGTGCAAGACCATTACAAAAATATTCTCAAAAATTAACAGTAATTTTTAGCGACTTGACTTCAAACATAAATTATAAAAATTTGGTATGGAAATCATAAATAAATGAAATCGTCAAAACGTCAGGGTATGCATTTTTTGATGCTGACTGTACATATATATATACGAATTCATAGCAAACTGCCATCTACCGAAGAAAAATCAAAGCGAGTGTCATACCAGCACATTCACTGCGATCGAAAAAACGCTGTAGCTTAAACAAAAAGAGAGATGAACAAATTTTTTTTTCCCCGAATGAGAGTGAGCGTCTGCTAATCTTAATTTATTTTTCCCGTATAAAATCGGAGCCCCAGAAGTAAAAAAAAAAAATTGTTTATGAAAAAATTTACTAAAATAAAAACTACTACAGTTTTTATATCGCCAAACAATTTTTAAAGTTTTGGTGTAAAAGGAATGAGATTATCTCCAACACCTAATAAATAAAGTAAGTTTTAGTAAAAGCCTTCATAAAGAAATAATTGCATATAACTTGCATACTATTTGCACAGTATCATATTACAATAACACCTATCTCAAATTAATAAAATAATCGATGCATAAACATTTTAAATTTTGAGGGTCCCCGTTGAGAAATGTTTACTCATTGTGAAATATGTGGTTTCCATGTACGCATGGTATTCTGGGTATGGGTTTAACATAGAACATCCAAAGGTTAATCAAGTCAATCCAATAACTCAAAATTGGTAAATTCGCACATTCATGTTTCTGGCATAAGGGTGACGAAATGTATTTACTTCACATTTAGTAATTTTTTAAACACCTGTTGTACATATTTTTGTGGTAAGATATTATTAGTCATATCGAGCCCTAACCACCAAAATAACGTAAGCGACACTTTTTTCAACATTTTCTTTTTGATGCAGAAATATTCGTAGAGCATCTAGATGCATTTCTGCATCAAAAAGAAAATTTTGAAAAAAATGTCGCTTACGTTATTTTGGCGGTTAGGGCTCGATATTTCCTGTTAATATTCTTCTATTTGTATGAGAACAAGTCAATAAAATGTAAGTTTAGACTCCCCTCTACTTACTAAACTGAATTAATATTTTGCTATTAGTTAAGATTGCCTTTTCAAATGGAACCATTTAGTTTATCCATTTGTATTAATAACGATTATTTAATCAACTATGTACATACATTAAAATTTTGAAATAAAATTTTCGAGGGATTTTTTTGACGTAGAATACGTCTTACCTTAAGGTATGGGGGCTATGTTCAAATGTTGTAGTTGTAATTTTTAGAGCTTCACAAAAACGCTTATTGCACGAGAACTAATAAAGCGATTTCAAAGAAAAGTGTGGCGTTTCAAAGATAAAATTCCAAACCTGTCGACAGATTCATTTTTGTAAATAACCAATTCGGTTTCTGTCGTAAAAACAACGGTAAACATTGCCTTATTTTGGGGTCAATTTTGAGCCTTTAAAGTGCTCTAGCAACTTATTGTTGGCATATATAACTTTCATTTTCGGGATATAGGTTCTTTGGAGCAGTAGAAATATTATCGGGTACAAATTTTATATAAATTTAACAAATATTGAGCATTTTAAGGCAAAAAATTTTTGAAAAAATTTGCAAATTTTTTTCATTACCAAAATGCTCGAAAACCGCTCGAATGATTTTGTTTTTGTTTTCTTTAATCAAAAATTCAAGAGTTTTCCTTTCGTTTGGTATATGGGAAGTATTGGTTGATATCTTCTATATATGTTTATTTTATTCAAATATATGGGCATAAATGATTTTCCATACAAAATCACCTCGTCATCATTTTGCAAACACGTACATATGTTGGAAGTGTGGGAAGGAGACAAAAAGTATGTATGCGTATGTAATGCGGCTTTTGATAAACAGAGGCGCGCTATTTATAACCTAATCGCAGCGTGTGTACATATGTAAATACATACATACGTACATATGTTGATTGCAGTTAATGTGGATCTGTTTCTATTTTTAGTAATCTATGTATGTCTATACATACATATGTACATACATATTATATATGTACATACATATATGAACACATGTATGCATAATACGCGAAGACTTTTCGAAGTGAAACAACATTTAGAAAAAGTCCAATCCAAGAATAAAAGTAAAGGTGAGGACGTACATAGATAAAGAAAAGGATAAAGGCCAAGGTAAAAATAAACACAAAAACAAAGTTGAGTAAAGATAAAGGCAAACATGAAGACCAAGGTAAATTTAAACACTTTACTTATATGTATAAGTGCAAAGGTGAAGGGGAATATGTATATGAAGAATATGATAAACATAAAAATAAAAACAAAGATAAATATAAAGAAAAAGATGCGGATGAGGATACCGATAAAAGTATAGATGAAGATAGAGGAAGAAAGATTAAAATAAAGGTAGTTGTAGAGAAAAGGATATAGATAAAGGCACAGAGACTCAATCTCGGAACTATTTCGGGATTTTAGGGATTCTCGGGACTTATCGATATAATCGATATTTTGTTGGTTTTTTTATCGATTTTGTTATCGAAATTGTTATCGATATTGTTATTGATTTTGCTATCGATATTTTTGGAACTTATCGATATAATGATCGATATTTTTATCGATTTTGTTATCTCTTTATTATCGATTTTGTTATCGATTTTATTATCGATTTTGTTATCGATATTTTTATCGATTTTGTTATCGATATTTTTATTGGTTTTGTTATCGATATTTTTATCGATTTTGTTATCGATTTTGCTAACGATTTTGTTATCGATATTTTTATAGATTTTGTTATCGATATTTTCAGAACTTATCGATATAATGATCGATTTTGTTATTTATTTTGCTATCGATATTTTTACTTATCGATATAATGATCGATATTTTTATCGATTTTGTTATCTCTTTATTATCGATTTTGTTATCGATTTTATTATCGATTTTGTTATCGATATTTTTATCGATTTTGTTATCGATATTTTTATTGGTTTTGTTATCGATATTTTTATCGATTTTGTTATCGATTTTGCTAACGATTTTGTTATCGATATTTTTATAGATTTTGTTATCGATATTTTCAGAACTTATTGATATAATGATCGATTTTGCTATTAATTTTGCTATCGATATTTTAACTTATCGATATAATGATCGATATTTTTATCGATTTTGTTATCGACACTTTAATCGATTTTGTTATCGATTTTATTATAGATTATTTATCGATTTTGTTATCGATATTTTTATCGATTTTGATATCGATATTTTTATCGGTTTTGTTATCGATATTTTTATCGTTTTTGCTATCGATATTATAATCGACTTTGTTACCGATATTTTTATCGATTTTGTTGTCGATATTTTTATCGATATTTTTGTTGGTTTTGTTACCAATATTTTTATCGATTTTTCTATTGATATTGTTATCAATAACCATACCACGTATTCTACGTTTAAATATAGCGGCTGTATCTCCGATACAGACCAAGACGAAGGCGCTGGACTGTTCCTTTTTAACTCCAAATTCGATTCTGGCGACGCTCATGCCACCACCCTCAAAAGTACAAACTAAATTAAATTGTTGCTTTTTGATCTCTTTCCAGAATTACTACGGACGCTTGTCGCTCTATGAAGATCAACAAACCACTATTAATAACTTGGAGCGTGGTCTTCCCATTTCTTATCGCGTGGATTTTCCCACTGACAATGTGCTACCTAAGCTTACACTCATCTCTGTAAGCGGAGTCGATATTTGCGTGTCATCTGAGTGTAAGCATAAGTTCTTTACTTAAATTGGCCACAAATAACAAAGATTATCCATGTAATGAAATGTAAATATGTTCCTTGTAGATCCCCCTCCAAGCACTGTTCTCGATCTCCAGCATACATTGCAAACATCAACTGTGCGAGGAACAAGACCTCTTAATAGCAATGTCGAAGGTGGAACCATATATCCGGTCACAACAAGCACATTTCCAAACCAAAATTTCAATCGCATTCCACAGCAGAACCAACCAGCCACCCAACAGACACAGTTCATAAATCCAAATCCTGCACAAAATCCATTTCTTACACAAATTAGACCGGCACCACAATCATCGACCTCGGAACCAAATCTGCAAACTAGGATCTCACAACCAGACAAAGACTACTCACAATGCGGCGTGGAGGGCAACTCAGTAACGCCATTCATTTATGGCGGCATCACACTTGCGCGTGGCCAATTTCCTTGGCTAGCAGCTGTCTATCGAAAGCAGTCGTCGGGTCTAAGATTCCTATGTGGTGGTTCGCTTGTCTCTTCCAACACAGTAATAACAGCGGCACATTGTTTTAAACTAAAATCGCTTAGCGCCTCCCAGGTTGTAGTCTATTTGGGTCGTCACAATTTGGAAAACTACGGTGAGGCCGGTGTCGTCACACGTGACATACGCAGTTTGCTTATACATCCGGACTATAGCGGCAAATCACTACCAGATGCAGATATAGCCATAATGCAAATGCAAACGTCAGTCAGGTAACATATTGCTTCATTAAAATTCTTTTGATAATAGTTTTGATAAGTTTGATAAGCCACCGACGTTCTAAACAATTTTTTTGACAAACAACTTTTTCTTTCTCCACACAATCTTCTTCTAGTTTAATGCATTACATTAGTTCATTGATTTTTCAATTTATTTGTACCTATCAGGTCCCATATAGACGTTTGTTTCAGTAAAGATCTCTTCATCCAACCACAGTCTTTTGCCGCTGAGCCATTCCTTCCGGTTTGAAATCAGGGAAATTATCGGAGGGGGCTAAATCAGGAGAAAATGATGAGAAAATGACGAGAGGCTTAGCAGTTCTGCGGCTAAATTATCAGGCATGTTCTGCAAATCGTACGATTTCAAATCGGTGTGATTTACAAAATCTATTTCGGAGGATTTATAACAAAGAGAGAAAAAATTTGGCACCCAAATTCGAAATTCACTTTCTTCCATTTCCGTTTTCAATTACTGTCAAACGGAAACTGAACGACTCATCTTACTTGAGGTTTGAAAGTAGCCTATCCACAGATGGTTGTTGATGCTAATATTATTTTAACGGTAGAGTATACAACGAAATCACTTAGCGAAGGCAAGGTGAAGATCGGACGGGCAGGTTTCCGACTTCCTACATATATCTTGGGCCACAGGGCGTCAATGCAAGAGCCCTGCTGACAGTTCAGGCCATCTAGCAGTGTATTGAAAAAAAAAGTCCGGCTATTGACGAAATAGCTCTTCAACGAAACCAGACGCAATCCGATTAAATACGAGGGTCGAAGATCTGTTAAAAGTGAATAAAAAACAAGTAAGAGCAGCGCTGTCTTCGGCTATGCCGAAGGCTTCATACCTTTCATGAACATCTGCAAATTTTACTTTGACAGATTACTGCTTTTGAATACATCTGCATACATCGATAGAGGAGTTACATACTTATATAAAAAATCGCATCTAAACAATCAGAGGTATGGAAGATATACTTTATATGACACCAATCTAAGTGATTTTCACCGCTATGTGATCGGTATGTAAACCGGTAACACAATTTATTGGGTTTAGTTTCGTACATAAAGGAGATATATGGCAAAAACTGGTATCTGAACAATCAGTGCTATAGGAGATAAAGCTTATACAGCATAGATTTTGACGATTTTCTCAGTAGACTTTGTATTATTATTTATAAAATATCTTACGAAATTTATCGGTTTTAGCTGTTCAAATAAAGGAGTTTTACAGTAAAATCCCATATCTGAACAATCAGATGTATGGAAGATATATGTTGTAGTCATCCGATCCTTGTTATTTTCACTGTAAGTATTCTGTTAATAATGAGTGAAAATGGTGCGAAATTTCATGTTCCTAGCTGCATAAATGGAGGAGTTATGATAAAAGACCTCATATCTGAACAATCAGTTGTATGGGGGCTGCAGGTTATAGTGACCCGATCTTTGTTATTTTCGCTGTAAGTCTTCTGTTGATAATGAGTGAAAACAGCGCGAAATTTCATGGTCCTAGCTACATAAATGGATGAATTATAACGAAAAATCTCATATCTGAACAATCAGTTGTATGGGAGCTATAGGTTATAGTGACCCGATCTTTGTAATTTTCACTGTAAGTATTCTGTTGATAATGGGTGCAAGTACTGCGAAATTTCATGTTCGTAGCTGCATAAATGGAGAAGTTATAACGAAAAATCTCATATCTGAACAATCAGTTGTATGGGAGCTATATGTTATAGTGGTCCGATTCTTCCGGTTCCGACAAATGATTAATACATTATAAAAATACACCCACCTACCAAATTTGATCCGGATATCTCGAAAACTGAGAGACTAGATTGCATACAAACAGACAGACAGACGGACAGACGGACAGACGGACAGACGGACATGGCTAAATCAACTCAGCTCGACGTTCTGATCATATAAGTATACATTTTCATGGGTCTATCTCTTTTTGTTCTGGTACTTACAAACATCGGACCAAAGTTATAATACCATTTCATGCTCATGAAAGGTATAATGAAATATAATTTGGCACCTGGGGAAGATGGTATACCTAACAGACGTCTGTAGGCAGCTATAAATTCAAAGTCAAACTGGTTTGTAGCCATGTATCATGTATGCCAGCTAGAAAAGGTATCCCAAGGAACAATGTTTAGTGCCTCTAAAAAGTCAAAAAATACTTTTGATGAACGCTCATCATATAGAATATTATGTGTGCTAAACACTTTCGGCAAGTGTATGAAATACTAGAACAATAGTCAAAGAAAATATAAACATCGCGGTAGGAGACTGTGAGTTCACATCCCAGCCCTTCCTTAAATACTTGCGAGTATTGTTGGACTCGAAGCTTAATTTTAAAGAGTGTCTTTACGGAAATAGAGGCAAATAAATGATGTGTGCAGGGTCACAACTACAGCAACCCAAAATCAGAGTAAATGACTTGAAGTAGAAAAAAATTAAATTCCGTAGTAAACTTTTTATAAATCGCTCAATTACATATCTTTAGATATAAATACAAGTTATGTAATAGAAATATTTAGTCAACTCTAATTAAATAACTTGTTTATATCATCCATAAAATTTATGTAAGTTTTAAAACGATATACAACGCGACTTCTTGAAATCGATGGGCGCTGAACACGATTCTGTGGTCCAAAACTGCTGATCATGTCTTGGTTTTGAGAATAGTGGGGGTAAAAGCTGCCCTCGTATCTCAATGTTTTTTTTTTAATTTATGGGAAGGTGAAGTAAATTTCAGTTTTTCTTGTATCAAACGAACTCTACGTACATATTCATACCAACTGTATAATTAATTTTATTTTATTTGCATAATTTCTCTTTATTTTAAGCTTAATATAAAAATCGTATGTGTACAAAACTTACACTGGTTTTACAGCAAAAATATTCTATGGATACCACTATTTAATTCCTATGAGGAATTGCTTGGTGATTCCGTAAATCGAGTTAATTTTTTCTTCTATGGATACTTTTCCACTTAATGACTTATATCTTACGAACCAATTGCACATTGTCAATATGAGATAACGCAAATGAAATCCAATGAAATTCTCCATAAACTGTCAGGCCTATTAAAAAGTGATGTATACACGGTTTATGAAAAATTTCCTTTCCCAATTTCGTATTGAGATTGGTCAATAGGTTCTTTTGATATACGTGATTAAGTGGAAGCACCTTTTTTCAAGCTGAATAGCGGTAAATTACAAATATCTCGAACGCGTATCCATAGAAAAAAAATTTTACTAAATTTTCGAAATCATCAAGGAATTCTAAATAGAAATTGGGTAGTGGCGTCTGGAGAACAAAAAGGTAAATTAAATAACACCAAAAATAGTACTTTAAAACTTGCCAAAATTTGGTGAGGCTATAATTTTTTCGACCGCTGTACATAGCTTGACTATGATTATTCAGCTGCACAATTCCACTAAGTGCATTTTAAAATTTTCACGGAATTGTAACAAGCGGCCTTAGGCATTTTAAGCATTCGCAAATATTTGATTTAGAAACTAAATACGAGTACGAATCTCAAAATTCCAAACCTAATTTTCACCACCTTGTATGAATTCACCATCTTTTACAGTGTTGTAAACCATAAAACTATAAAAATTAATAGATAAATATTAAAAAAGTTAAAACACGCAGGAAAGGCAGAAAAAGGCAATAAAGTCGAAAATGGCGAAATTAAAATTTATATTTTTAATCAAGGAAGACATGAAACGTGTCATTCTTTAATTTGTTAAAATCCTAACGCTGGTTATTATACAAATTTTTCTTATCTTTGCAGCTTCAATGAATTCATCCGTCCCATTTGTTTGTGGAGCGAATCGTCGGACAATTCATTGATTGTTGGTCAAACAGCTTTCGTTGCCGGCTGGGGTGCGGATGAAAAAGGGCGTGAAGTGTCTGCGTTACCCAAGATGGTCGATACGGCCATTGTTAGCGATAATGAATGCTTACGCTCCTCGGAGGTGTACAGCAAATTGACAACTCCGCGCACGATTTGCGCAGGCAACCGTGATGGCACTGGTCCTTGTATGGGTGACTCCGGTGGTGGTTTGATGTTAAGTCGTAATGGGCTATGGATGTTACGTGGTGTCGTATCGGCCGGTCTCACTAGTCAGGGTCAATGTGACCTCCGGCAGTATGTTATATATTGTGATCTGGCGAAGCATATTGCGTGGGTGCGGAGTAATATCTACTAGTGGTCAGACTGCGTAATCGGAATAATGTTTAATTTAACCGGAGACTGAAATAATAACCTGCTTTGTTGGTGAAAATGAGAGATTTGCAGCCGTGATTAAAATATGGACAACTTAGACCGTAGAAGCGTTTTTCCGGTAAAAAAAAATTAATTATTTAGCTGAAAAATTTTATCAGACACTTGTGTTGAAAATTCGAGTTTGTAACTATGAGAAGGTCAAACAAAATACTCAAAATATACACATCTATGTACCCCAAAACACTAAAATAAACGTTATATATATTTTTATTTTCTAATTTATGCCTATTTAGATAAGTAAATATGTATGTAAGTACATTATTTTCTATAGTTGGAAGAACGGAATTACTAAACATAAAATAAAGTCCAAAAACTGAAAAATGTATGTATCAAACCTCAATCTCGATCATTACTTTGGTCCAAATGTGTATTTTTTTAGCGAAGTTGCAATATAATTGGAATTTCTCATCCTATGAACCAAAAGTACTCTTTCTGCGCTAGCCTTCCTCGGCCAAGGGCGAACGAAGCAGCATCGCGCTTCTGCTGTACAGGTGTAAAACGATACAGGAAACCAGTACGAAAAGGAGGGTTGCATTCCAAGGTTAAACACCCACAAATTTTAAGGTGTTATTTGTTATTACTTAAATCAAGGGAAATCAAACAATATCAAAAAAATCGCAAAACGAAACTGACTTTACAATCAATATTTAACTAATAGTAGAAATAGTAGTATAGGAATATCGAAATATTTGAACGTACTGATACTTGCCACCTCTTATCCTGGCAGAAGTCCTTGGCAAGTCAGCCTAAAAGGTGCGGATTTTTCCAATTAGCGCGGTGAGCTTGGATAAGATTTGAGCCAGGGATGGAAAATCGAAATTTCAAATTGTGCATAATTTGACAATAGAAATGTAACTCTTTGCTGTCAAATGTACCTAGAAAGTAGCTCACTATTTTGTTAACTTTTTTTTAATAATTTCAGACAATTGGTAACAATTTAATAAATTTTTACATTATTTGCATTAATAAGAAAGGGATTAATATATCCGTACCGTTTAATTAATATTCAATAAAGATACAGCTAGCTTAGAGTGAAAAGTTGCTTAGTCCACTTTCGAAAAGGGTAAAGGTCCTTGTTTTATAATGAAAGGAAACTTTGCTAAGACCAAGAAAAGCTCCGAAAATTCGATAAGGCCAAAATAGTACGAAATATTTTTAAAAAGATCGAATCCCTCTGATTCGTATGGAGTTTTGCTTTGCTTTAAACAGGCAAAATGTTGTATTCAAAGTTTTACGAAATACTTAAAGAAACTAGCTTTAAGAAGTTTTTTTCCTCACCTATACATTTTTTAAATTGGGACATAGCAATTTTTCACTCTAAGCTAGCGGTATATGTATGTATGTATGTACATTGGGGTGCTCAAAAAAAATAATAATAATAAAGTCGGAATTTTAATGCTGTCACCCTCTAGGATCGTACTATACCGAAAAAAGTAGTTTTATTTGGAAGTCAAAAAATATTTAGGGGTCGCTCAAAGCACTCAAAGTTTTCCATGTATCTTATAGAGGGCCAAAACAAGTTTTCGTAGAAATGGTATAGAATTCTTGGGAATTAATATTTGTCGATCGGAAAAGTTGGTTTCTCTTTTGGAGATTTTCAATAATATTACGCAATTATTTATTTAACCATTATCTTTTACTAACTATTTCTTATAGGACTCCTAAAACACTCAAAAAATCCAAATATCCATAAAAAATCGCTTTTATTTAAAATAGTAAAAAAAACAATTGGGTATTATTATATTAAATTAAAAATATTGATTTTCAAGAAATTTATAATAATAATAATAGATTGGCGCTTACACATATGTTAGTGTTTGGCCGAGCTTCTCCTCCGACTTGTGGCGTGCGCCTTGATGTTGCCACACAAAGAGGAGGGACCTACAGTTTTACGCCGACTCCGAACGGCGATTGTATTTTTATGAGAAGCTGTTTTTCATGGCAGAAATACACTCGGAGGTTTGCCATTGCCTGCCGAGGGACGACCGCTGTTAAGAAAAAACCTTTTTTCTATATTTTTTGCGATGTTGCTTTGACCAGGGCTTGAACCCAGGTGCTGATGAGTGAAAGCGCGCACTGCTTACCACTACACTACAGCGGCCGACAAGAAATTTATACCTTTTGTTTTTTCCTCGAACAAAATGCGTGGAAGACTTTGAGCGCTTTGAGCGACCTCTAAATATTTTTTGATTAAAAAAAAAAACAGGGGTATAATTTTTTCGGTATCATTCAGTCATTGCTTTTATTTAACCCTGCTTATAAACAGCAGGCATTCTAACAATTTCATTCGAGTTTACATGTTTGAGCATTACATAATTATTCAAAAATAATATGAAAGTGAAAGTACTTTAGAAAATTACAGTAGTTTACACAATATATTCATTTAATGTGTTGGCTCTGAATCGGAAACTGTTAACAACACAGAACAGTATATTCGAATATACTATACATTGCGTTGCTTTGTAACTCTTTTAGAAGTGGTCCTAGGTAGTAGTATAAACTGTGCACTTGAAGACAAGATGCTCGGGGCTTTCCATTTGGCCTAGATTGCACTGCATACATAAAGCATTTGGGTATATTTTGTAAACCAAACCAGGACTTTGATACAAAACCTATGTGCGACTATGTGGACAGGGCAACTTGAGCTAAAATTTTAGCTCAAAATTTTACTTACTTATCCATCGTTGCAAGCTCAATAAACTCCCAGGAGTCTACATACAGATTACAGGTATTTCCGCCTTTAATTATTATTTGCTTCTTTCGTACTTTCACTTTGCTAGAAAGCCCTCAAAACCTGAGGAGTTTGTCACTGTTCACAAAGAATTTAATAGAGGAACTTGGCCACTTTGCTAAGGTTTCTTGTTGCCGCAAATACATCTTCGCAATGTTCCTTGTTTTCAAACATTTTCTTACATTTTTCTTTTGCTAGCACCATATTTAGTCTTTAATATGGATATTTATGTGGCTATCGTCTAATTGTACCTAAATTGAGCTCAGTGTACCGAATGTACCTTTTGGTTCGAAAAAGTCGGAAAAAAGTACAATTGTACCTACTTTTTGATCCCTGGTTTGAACCATCCAATTTTTCTCCACATTCTCATTCGGTCATCATTATCAAGTGATTTGAGCAAAAAATTAAATTCTTCTACGGCAGGATTGTAAAGATATACTGATTATCCTTAATTTTTCGTAGGAGAGCTTTTCTAACTAAGTTAAAAAGCATCCTACAGTAAGTTTTTTGGACGTAAAATCTGCGTCTATCCATCGTAAATTATAAATATTCAGTTAACTTTAGTGCAAAAGTAATTTGCTTGAGCTTTAAAATTTGCAAAAACCGCGAATACTCACGTTTTTTTGCTAGTTTCTGCGTTGAGTCACCATACTTACTAAGGTCTGTCCATAGTGATTATTATAATCGAGTTAAAGCTTGTGAAAATCGCCGCAAAGTAGTATCCAAACCGTTTTCGTATCTTATGTATGTCAGAAGATATGAACTTTAAAAATGAGAAACCAAAAAGCTTCCAAAGTGATATTTGCTCAATAATTTTGTCTGTTCACAAAAAATCGCAAAAACTAAGAAAAAATATTTTTAACAAAACTTAATTTCCAAGCCGGAAATTTAATGAACTGAACATGAAGGTTTCAACTCACAGCTCGGTAGCAGAGGTGTGATAGTCGCAATGATAGGCATGTCCACGTCGCCATAAAATAATTCTTTCATTTAATATCAACCAACTTGGTCGGAAACCAAGAAGAAGGTCGAAAATACTTTGTTTTTGGTATTGCTTGGTATAGCATGCAAAAAATCCCGCTCTTCGACAGAAAATCCCATTCACCCTTTTTAGTAAAAAAATCTCGAAAAAAGGGCGAAATCCCGCAAACTGGCCACACTGGATAGATCTGATTTTTTGGATAGTATATAGATAGTAGATATACATAATGACGGTAATGTCAGCCTTTATTTTCACGAGGACATCAGCCAGCAGGACAGATGTACCTTTCCAATTAAGGGTCCGGATATTCCGGAAGCATACTCTCAAATCATAGCCCTTTATTCGTTTGCCGTGGTCGTCATCAAAAGACGGGGGTCTCATCCGAGGCATGTTTTTCTTTTTCATTGGGCGGGGTTTTAACCCAGCGCACGGGAAATTTTACGTCTTCTCACTTTAGCTCGCTCCCAAATGGGTGGGAGGATACGTGCATATAAATATCTGGACATTGTGCGCTGCGATTTGAAACGTACTCACAAGAATCGCTTCTGGCTACTTCCAGATGAATGACAGTCAAAAGATTTTCCCACTTACGTGGACTTCTGAGCACGGAACCATGCAAATTTAATTTTAGTTCTAGATATTTTATATCGCCTTTTGTTTAATGTAAACAGAATTTTCAAAAACGAACGAGGTCTAGCGCTCTGATTATAACACTGGCCAACAAAGTTGCACTTTTGGACTGATGAATGACTTGTGATAGATGGTGTTTCTAGAGATTTGCTTTTTTGAGTTATAACACTATTGAAGTAAATGAGCAATACGTACATACATATGTATGTATGTATATCGCTAGCTTAGAGTGAAAAGTTGCTAAGTCCACTTTTTATGAAAACTCATATTTTGATATAGGAGGCTAGAGAAATTGAATACGCATCGTTTCGAAAATTATAAAGGTACTTGTTTTATTGTTTCCTCTTCATAAGCAATAAAAGGAAAATTTGCTAAGTCCAAAAGAAGCACCGCAAATCCGATAAGGTCAAAATAATACGACATCTTTTAATAAATATCGAAACCTTCTGATTCTTATGGAGTTTTGCTTTGCTTTAAACGCGCAATATGTTTGATTCAAAGTCTTGCGAAATAGTTAAAGAAAATGGCTATAGGAAGATTTTTTCCTCTCCTGTAAAATTTTTAAAATGGGACTTAGCAACTTTTCTTTCTAAGCTAGCGATATATATATGAACGTACAATGTTCAACAGGTGGCTTGTTGAGTGAGATGTGATAAAAAGAGGGAATAAGAGCTCAAATGCTATGCTCACTCAAGGATATTTCTTAGTTTAGGAGAATGCGAGAGCACATTTGGGAGTGTGTTGAAAAGCTCTTCTGACTTATGTTGTTAGAAAATTACTGCCGAATGATAAGCGTTGAAAGAGAGAGTGAATGTGACTAGTGAACCAATGTGCGAATCATGATAAGCAAATTCAACAAACACAACAATAACATC